ACAGTGCCTAAAGACGAAAGTTTTCAATCAGTGCGTCCTACCTGTGATGACATACGGAGCCGAGACGTGGACACTGATGGCACGGCTGGTCCACAGGTTCAAAGTCGCTCAGCGCGCTATGGAAAGGGCTATGCTCGGCGTTTCTCTGAAAGATCGCATCAAAAATGAGGTAATCCGACAGAGAACCAGAGTTATCGACATAGCCCACCGGATTAGCAAGTTGAAGTGGCAGTGGGCTGGCCATAATTGCCGAAGAACCGATAACCGTTGGGGTAGACGAGTTCTGGAGTGGAGACCGCGTCTAGGCAAACGTAATGTAGGACGTCCTCAGGCACGATGGAGTGACGATTTGCGCAAGGTGGCTGGCAGGAGCTGGATGCGAGTAGCCCAAGATCGATCTGAGTGGCGTGCATTTGGAGAGGCCTATGTCCAGCAGTGGACTATGATAGGCTGTTGATGATGATGATGATGACATAAAATGTAATTTGACTCTTTTTTTGCTCCTATGTCTTCCTTTTTCCAATAACTTGTATGTCAAAGCAACCAGAAGCCCTCAAAAATGTCAAAAATAATATTTTTTTTAACATCACTGAAGACGTCTAGTGTGAAGTCTCAATAAATATTTACAAAAAAAGCAGAACATGGAGGCCTATTATAAACTACTTTTTATTCTATTGATAAAATTTCATTTACATATATATCTGATTTTCAAGGAGGAAATCGTCGAGAGCCAAACCTTAAATTAAGCGATTTTTGTACGAAATTTTCAGCGTTAGCTACTGTTATCTCTATCGCACGGTATTTGCCAATGCACGACAGCAATAGTTTATTCATAACTTCTTTTTCATAAATGCCTCTATCTCAAATATCGCTCAGCTTGCTTTCGCTCTTAAGGCTGAATATGTCTACACAATCGCACGGTGAATCGAACGGGTAGTTCTAATTAAACCGGCCCGGTCGTGAACCGAGGCCCGGATAAAGCTAATGATCCTTTTTGCGAGTAGCCTACTTATCCCGAGCTGCGGCGCGAGCATTCCCGTACATCCTGCTAACTAAATTAGGTGCTAATTGGAAAAAATCGTCAAAAAAAAAGGATAGAAACGTTTTGAGTTAAAGGGGTAAGGGAAGATGGCGAGTAAAAAGGCAGCAGGCTGCTATCTTTGGATTTAGACTCCAAACACACACAGTTTAAGTTCCGGTTTCTATTATATATAACTAGCTGCCGCCCGCGACTTCGTCCGCGTTAACTTTAGTTTTTTGAGAATCCCACAGGAACCTAACATAATTCCGGAACAAAAAGTAGCCTTTGTCTCAATCCACTTTCTAAACAATATGCCTGCCAAAATTTCATCCAAATCCGTTCAGTAGTTTTTGTGTAACTGAACTGAGTAACAAACGTACCTTAAAACACACAAACTTTCACATTTATATTATGAGTACCTAAAATAATAAATTATGTAACTCTATTTGTTTTGTCATAATAATAAAACCTCTTGATTTTTTTCAACTGAATAGAGATAGATCACAGCGGATTTGTGAAAAAACACTACTAATTGATGGTGTTGTGATCCTTTTGGTGGAATAGGTTCCAAGGCCTCACTGGGTAGGGGAAGGATCGGGGAAGAAACGTATAGATAGCTTAATTTGTCTTGCTTTGTCATCTCACGCTGTCGCTTTCCTAATATGCCGAGTAAAGGGAAGCGCCAACATGTATAGGCCTTATTAGGCGTCGCTTGTCGGCACTCGCTGTCGCTCGCCAATATTTGTCTCGCGTCGTCCATAATAACTGATAGCGCCCAACGTATGAGGAGCTCCACAATGGGCTAACTAACTAACTTAGCTATATTGGCCATTTGCATTGGTCTTCTTCAAACTTGCTCAATGCCTAGACAGTAGCACTTGCCTTGTATCAGCTCGGAGTCCTGAAGAAGGTGCGGCGTTTCTTCACGCCTGATCAGTAGATCGGCGTTGCGAAAACGCAAGTGCGGTCCTGCGTGGAATATTGCTGGCACCTCTGGAATGGCTCTGCTAAGTACTTACTCGATGCCTTAGATAGGTTGCTGTCCGCATCATGGGCGATGAAGAACTAACTAAGAAACTCGAGTCTCTACAATTACGCCGCTATGTGGCATCATTCAGCCCGATCTACCGACTATACCACAGCGAGTGTTCTGAGAAGTTATTTTCCCTTATCCCTCCATCACCTTTTCTTCAGCGGACCACGCGCGCTGGCCTATGTTGTCACCGACTTACTGTGGCTACTTTTCCTACACGGACAAAGAAATTTGGTGACTTATTTCTTTGTCGTACTATTCGCAAGTGGAATTCTTTGCTCGCGCACGTGTCCTCCTTCCTACAATCTGGAGTCCTTAAAGAGAGGCGTGAAGAAGCATTTTTGCAGGCTGGCAAGGTGAGGATGATTGGTGCGGCAGTTTAGACTTATGTACCAGCTATCTTCGCGTTTGGACTCTATCACCACTTAACATCAGGTGGGGTAGAGTCATTTGCCTATCTGGGTATAAAAAAAAAGTTTGTATGCTCGCGTTGAGTTAAGGTCGGGCAACATGTATTGGCAGCATTACTTACTTACTTACTTCTGCGGCGCTACGATCCAAAGTGGATCTTGACCTCCGACACAAGATGACGCCATGCTCTGCGATCCCGGGCTAGGTCCCGCCAGCCGTCGGCCACCAAACACTGCAAGTCCCTCTGCACCTCGTCGCTCCAGCGGTATCTGGGACGCCCAACGGGCCGTCGTCCTATCGGTCGCCCCAAATACGCCCTTTTCACGGCTCGATCCTCTCCCATTCTCTCTACATGCCCGAGCCAGCGAAGTCTAGCTGCTTTAATTTCTCCTATGATGTTGGGCTCGGACACTAGATTTTGGCAGCATTACTTTGCACTATTCAAGAAAGCATGTTTGTGCTATGGAGGCTGCTAACTATCTAGCGGGCCTATAATATGCTTGTTTGCTACCCGTCTTACATAAAATAAAACAATAATAAACATACCTACTACAAGAAAACTAATAGTTCACTTAAAAAGAAATAATAATGGTAATAAAAAATTCAAGTTATACGTAACGAAGTAAATTAAAAAGTTTGTTCGTAATTAGTTTCAGTAGTTAGTTCTCGCTTTCAAAAGTATCTATCACTGCCTCGATGAATATTTTTTGTTATTCATTAAAATACAGTATATTTTGATGATGATAAAATAACAGATAATTTAGTAAACTACTTAAAATAGATCTATTATGCTTAACTACAAATAAAAGACACCTTATAAATTAAGAATAAAAGACATTTAACACACTGAGTTTTCGCACGAACTCTTTATAAATATGTACTAGCTTGCTTGTACACCTCAATAAAGGCTATATAATACAATCAGCTACAATTATTATTAAAACCAACAAAGGCAAGAATAAAAACATTACCAAAAATGTTGTAGTCGTTTAAACGATTTATTACGGGCTGTGATATTTTCTGCGGGATGCTTACAACACAATTCGGAGCGTTCATTAACAGCCGTTTCGCAGGGCGATTATTTTTGCAAAAAGGTCTGTTAGAGTACCGCAGTGCCACTAATGAGACAATTTTAATACTACGTTTCATTTGCGTGGGCTCGTTGTAGTTGCATTGCGCTGGGCATCTGTTAGGAGATGTTACCAGTACTAGTATTATTCTATGATGTTTGCAGTGTCGAACACATAAATGACCTGAACTCTAAGTTAAAATATTATTTTGTAGTTTGATTTGAGTGGCTATGGGTAGTCATGCTCTCTTAAAAACCTCTTCGGCGGTGGCAGGTTGTTGCGTTGCCTTAAATATGGTTGAATGAAGCAATAGCTGTTTCATGCGTCATGATCTTGAACGGGTGCTGCCAGCGAAGATGAGTCTGCTCTTGCTACATTGGGTACTATTTATCGTTGAATTTAATTTTAATCGTACATTTTTTTATAGCATTTCTAAACTATGTGCTGAATCAGTTTTATTTTATTTTATTATAAAGTCATAATTTTTATATCATTCATATTTGTAACGGATAGTGACTTCATGAGTTATCTCATATTGAAGTAATTTTTCAATTTGACGACTCTATATATACAATACAGGGAGGAAAAAACAGCCCTTGCTGAGTTTCTTGCCGGTTCTTCTCAGTACAAGGCCTCCCGCCGTAGATTTGCGAACCGATGGTGAAGCTTTTCGATATTCACAAGTGCTTGTAACAGCCTAGACTGAATAAACGATATTGTTATGCCGCAGGGGCCCTCCTCCGCAACTACTGGTGCACCTGGATTGGTCTGATAGAAAAGTTTTGCTGTTATTATAATTTACGTTATTTACTGGTTTGCTACCATGTACCTTGATTTTTCGAGTCACCGATATTTCGGCACTATTGCAAGCAACATGATCACTGACTAATTTACTTACAACGGTGCCGCAATGCTGAAGAAATCCCATGAAAAACATAATTTAATATAATTTTAGTAATCATAAAAGTTTTAAACAGTTATATTGTTATTTTTATTTTCAATTTTTCCTTGATCTCCATAGAGCAATGCGGTCGTCTCGGTCGTGTTTCTCTATGTTGATGTCAGAGTGAAAGAAAAATAGCATGGGTATTCTGTAAGATGCATTCTCACTTACGATCTCATTTATACGGATTTCTGACAAATATTTTATACTGGCTGCTTCTGCAGGCACATTTTGCCGTGTAATGGCATAACGCATATCAAACATATATCTAATACTAGCGGCCCGCCCTCGCTTCGCTTCGGTATAAAACTGAAGTGTAGACAGTTTGTGTTCTCAGGCTTGCATTATACACAATGACATTCATCTATGATTCTTCTTATACCTGCATGCAAATTCTCAGCCCGATCGGTTTAAAATTGACAAAGTTTCATACAAAAATTTTATTCCCTATTTTATCCCCTTGGGGGTAGAATTGATCAAAATTCTTTCTTAGCGGATGCCTACGTCATAACATCTACCTGCATGCCAAATTTCAGCCCGATCCGTCCAGTGGTTTGGGCTGTGCGTTGATAGATCACTACGTCAGATAGTCAGTCACCTTCACCCAGTTGATGACACAGATTATTATTTTTAAACAATAGTAAAATAAACAACCATACCAATGTACACATCAAAAAAAAATATATGCATTGCGATTTACTAATACGTTGTGATTTTCTAAGCTTCGTAGCGCTAATAGTCGTTCAGATATCACTCGCGCCGTTGCCTACCCTGATCCAATACCCTACCCAGTGGAGCTCTAGAACGATACTCACCGACATAAACACAACACCGCCAAAAGCGTTATTTTACCGTGATCTTTCGTGAGGTGGATGTTACTTTCCCAGAAGGGTACTCTAATTCAATTGGAAAATCCACTACGCTCTTACCTTCTGTTTGCCAAATAATTAAGCGCTGCGTCTTTGTTATGTGTACTCTTTTGTTATAATTATTTCGTTCTTGGAAACGCTTCAGCGTCTCCGCCGGTGGCAGTTGTAACAGATATTTGTTGTAAAGAAAATATTTAAACGGGTCTCTCTAGGGAAAACCTCTGCGAGTTATTAGGCGAATGTAAATAAAGTGGGGTCCTCGCAATTGGGTTTTGTACTCCGTGGTCCTGTCCCCGCAGCGGGTAAACACCTTTGTGCCGTACGTAGGTAATATATCATTATTTATTCTGTGACTTGTGTACTCAGTCCAGCGAGGTTATTTGGTGAACTTGATTGACTTACTTCACAAAGAACAAAATAATGTATCAAAAAAATTCATTCGCTCTGGGTTTCATAGGAGATGCGAACCCGCATCGTCGACTATCCGGAGGAAAGATGCGGGTTCGAAACCGGTCTGAAACATTATCCAAATGAATCTTTTCACATAAAGTTACCTTAAGATTTTTAAACATCCTGCAATCAATTGCTAAAAAAATATAATACCATAAGATCTAACTATCTGTTTTTCTGACTAACCCTTTTTCTCCGCAGCGACCTCGTCAGCAAAGTCTTGGCGGGGTGCTCCGGCGGGAAGGCAACTGGAAGTGCTTCATGCTGACCCTCATGATCGCCGGCTGCCTCGGCTCCGTAGCGTGGTGCTCCACCGCCGAGATCGACAGGGACCTCATCGACTTCAGCTCGTAAGTAGCTTCACGAGCTTTAGAATGTAGGAAGCTTATAAGCACTCGTCCCTTGTAGTTACACCAGTAACTACGATGAAGACGCCAATCCTCATCGTTACACTGTGATATGGTAGAGGTTGACTTGATGAGACCCTCGATTATCGACACAACTTTTTTTTTACCTATATAGATTTATTATATAAAAAAATGGTTGGCTGTAACGTCGGTTTACGGACGATAATTTTACAAATCACGTAAAATTAATATATGCCCCACAGATATACAACGGATGTAGGAAATCATTACTCACCATCCTCAAGAGATGGCGTTACCTGCACTGCGATCAATATTAGTATGGAACGCTACATCGCGCAAATGAAATTCGGAGGCTAACTTTTCATATATACGATACCCGACCAACATCAGTCGGGCCGCGGCCCCCGAGCTAACATCACCCAGCTCGGAGGAAGATCTTCCCCTTTGGCCTTCCTACAGTGCCATTCGCTGTTTTCCCCGGGGCAGTTTTGTGTGGCTTTTTGTTCCGGTTCGTTTGAGCCCAAGCACGCCTCTGCAGCTCTATGGGGGCTCTAGTTAGGCTCCTTGGTGGTGAGATACTTTTCGAGGGTGAGGGGGAGGGGTCATGGGGCTCAGAAGAAGCAGAGGGGAGGGGGCTACAGGGGTGTTAGGGGCAGAGGGTCAGGGGCAAGGAGGAGGAGGGTCAAAGTAACCCTACGACCTCACCTCACACACACCGTGAAACGTTGAACTAACTAGTGACAACGTGACATGACGTCACACTTTTTCGTGCGTGCAGCCGTTGTTCATCGATTTATAAGCGTTATCACGTCAATAACAGTATTTAAAACCGCTTATTTTCTGTGTGTTGTTGTGTAATTTGTTTTCGTGTGTGACGGTCTCTTAGGGTACCGTGGAAAATAAATTTTAGCCGCTGGCTCTATGAAAATGAATATTATGCCGCTATGAATTTCCAAGCGGAAGTTTATTTATTTATTTAGGCATGCTAACAGTCACACATATTAATACATTAATGAATGGGTCGGATACTATACAGTTTTCTTATATGCAGACCAATTACAAGCATACACAACAATCACAATAATGTTAATAAACAACTTGATACAATTCAACTGATTGACCTGAAGTTAACAACCAACCTGCTGCACTCATACAACGTTCACACATCTTTCTCAACGTAAATATTTAAGGAAACTTCCGATTCCTCGGAGGGATATCCTGCAGATTTCATTGAACCGTTTCCACTAGCAACGGGAAACGACTCTCATCCCTCATTTGCAAAACTGATTCTGAGGCGAAGCACTCCCTCGGGATCTGATAGAGAAAGTCCGAACATTATTGCGGCGTCGGCTCGATCTCAGGGGGGGAGTAGCTGGATTCCAGTTCATGAATAAACAAGGCACAGAGACAAAGCATCATACAATACATTGCGCGCGACTGAGTGAGCACTGGCGGCCTGTCGCGTACGGAGAGAAACGTTTATAATGGCGGAACAGTACCCTTAGCACGAGTTTACAATTACGAAAACTATGATAGTTTACGTGAGCTTGCACTCGTATTAAGAGTACTGATTTTATTGTTATCATTTCAATATAAGTAAACAGTGTTTAAATTCCATCATTAAATCATTTGCGTCCTCTTAAATTTTAAGAATATTTGGTAACTCTTTACCAAAATGGACATAGAAACATAATTTACAATACGAAAACTATGATAGTTTTCGTGAGCTCAAACTCGTACTAAGGGTACAGGCTTTGATTGAAATAGACGCCGCATGTAATTCAAAATGTTTGGAGACTGAGCGTGTCAGTTTTTGAGTACTCATGAGAACAAATCAGTGGTGAAATAGCATGGATTCCGGTCACCTATTTCAATTATATAGTTCTTACTGCCTATAATGACATAGTTAGATATTTTTTAAACATAACAATTGACGTCTAGTATCGAGAAAGGTGACGCGGAGGATTAAATTAGCATAAAAGACTGATCATCGGTCTTCCGTTTGGCACGCAAAGTACATACGCTTGCGTTATATGTCTGTGATTGATCCGTATGCTATATTATAAGCCGAGGCTTAGTTCAGGTGCCAGTTGTCTTACAAACAACGGTTGAAATTTATTGTAACTTTATTTAGATTTATGACATTATTTGTAAAGAGAGAAAATAAACGTTATTATTATTTTTATTGGTGGCGACAGGCTACCAGTGCTCACTCAGATATGCGCAGTGCTTTATCACGCCTGTTGTATTTTATATTCGTTCCACATTGTGGGTTACCTACAATGCGAAAAGATGGCACTGCCTTGCAGCCTAAGAAATACTAGGAATAATTCGACACGGCCATATGGGCCGCGGTAGCATAATGGTTAGTGCATGAGACAGCGGAGCGAATTTCTAGTAACTTGTTCTTCTTTGTTCATGTTATTCCACTTCACACTCGCTTTATTCAACGCCGATACCTCCAATATCTGTTTTGACACAATCGGAATCTCAGTGAAAGATCTAGTGTTAAGACTGTGAAGTCGAATCTATTGTTCAACGTCCAACGACGATACCGAACGAATAAAGAACCAAGCATTTGTAGTGCCAATCTATGACTTTATCAGAAAATAAGACGGATTTTGCTCGAAATGAGCAAAATAATTAATTTTGCGTTATATAATTACCGCAATAATAAGATAAATTCATCGTGTGAATAAGGCAAAATAATAGTTTTGTAAATAGATGGATTATAGGTCATCATCATCGTCATCATCATCAGCCTATTAATGTCCCCACTGCTGGGGCACAGGCCTTCCCTGTGGATGGAATAGGGAGATTGGGCTATGACCCACCACGCGGGCCCAGTGCAGATTGGCGGGTGCTAACGACTGCAGATGCAGGCGAGACCAACGTCTTAACATAAAATTACTTAACTTTAATGATCGCAGTCGAACGCGCTACCCATCCGCGCCATCAAGCTCCTCCGATTAGTGGTACTAATAAAATAATATATTTTATCTACACTCATGTCGAAATATTCGAATTAGTTTGCTAATATTAAACCCAATTTCCTAATAACCATAATATCATCCAAACGGATGATCTGTTTGGATGATAATTATGGTTACTTATAATGTTGTACTTACAAGAACGCTCCTTCGCTTTTTCGATTTCTTCCAGGCAATTGGTTCACTCATCAGACAGCCAAAATTTGATGCGTGATATCGTATCTGATCTATATGAAAAAAAAAAAACAATATTGTCATTTACGCGCGTTTTACTACCACAGCGCTGAAACTTTTCATGAATTTTAAGTTGCCCTTAGAATGTCCCATTCATGGTTACAGAATCTTTTATAGGGGATTCATATCATGGGTATAGATAGTCTTGTATGCAACTGTTTGTAATTAAGTATTAATACACGAATACTATTATCACTCTCGGCTTAGCCTCATTATACAAAAGTTGCTAATAGTTAATAAGTATTGTGACTGACATTGTATTTATCAACGAATTCTATACAGTACAAATTATTTACGCCGTTGAAAATAATAAAATTTTTGAAAAATACAAAGTAATTTCCATTTACGAGTATCCTGTCTGTACATTAGGTATACCTTTTAAAATATACTATTTTAAATTTGGAAAGTTTAGCGGTCCCAATATTCCAAAATTAAGATACGAGTAATATTAAGGCGCTTCTTTATAATGGCCCATCATCGCCGCGATGACACATGAATCGTGACTGTTCTGTTTATGTCGCTATCATCTGTTGAAGATGGACGTCGAAGTGACAGCGACTGCTGCTATCTATTTGCTCAGTATAATTATATAGTCGATATCGGAATTTCAACTAGCGTGGAAAGGGTGCCGTTCACAGGAATTCAAACTAATACAAATTTGTTCGTGGTAACTGAAAAAAAAACCCGGCCAAGTGCGAGTCGGACTCGCGCACCGAGGGTTCCGTACAAACCAGAAAATTCAAAAATAATTTTTATTATACGATGTAACTATAAATTTACGGTCTTCGCAATTTTTCCTTTATCTGAACTATAAGACGTTACTTCCTACCAAATTTCAAGATTCTAAGTTCACGGGAACTACTCTGTAGGTTTTGACTCCCGTGCGAGTTTCGAAATTCTGCGACATAAACGGCTGTATCTTTTGATTGCTTTGGCTTAGAAGTTTGATTCTTTCACGATTCCAAATGAGACATGAGTATTAGATGTGAATTTCAGTTTGATATCTCCACTAGTTCCTGAGAAAAACGTGAACAACAAAGTGATCGTATGATGGTTTCGTTTTTGCCTTTTAAAGTACGGAACCCTAAAAGGAGTACGTGAGTATCGTGGAACAATCTGTTGTAACGAAGTTAAAAATATTTATATACCACCAATCCGCATTGGGCCCCTTGGTAAGTCCTAGCTCAATCTCCCTACGCCATAAAAAAGTATTATACCTACCAACCCGCATTGGGCCCTGTGACCCAGAGTGGAATGAGTCCGATGCAGAATGGGCACAGTGTGGAACGGCCTCAAAGGGAAATGAGCCCAGTGTGGGATGAACCCTCTGTGGAATGGACCCACTGTGGATTGAGCCCAATCAAGATTATGCTAACTGCGGATCGAGTCCAGTGACCTCCCCTATGTCATTGTTACCCAAAAGAACTTTCGTACAACTTTAGCTTTACCCTTTGGATTTAACACACACGTCCTTGAGCCTTGACTTCTTCCGTGCAACGCAGTACCTAATAAGCGATTGTACGGACGCAAGCACGATCATCGACACGCATCCATTTGATGTACCGACAGTTTACCGATTTCTCACGATTACAGGCGATATTGGCCACACATGCACGATTATGCCCTCAAAACAATAGTACGTGTCTATATTCGCCCATCATGGGATATTGTGAAGAGAGGCCATAACAGAATTGATACTCCGTATAAAACGAAAAACCGTTAAGAGAAAAATTGATGCAAAACTGCTTTGATCAGTGA